ATGAAATTGTCACTCCGCCTGATCTCAGACACGGCAGGCAACGAGGGGCTCTCGACAGCAAGTCGCAACGATCCTACGCTCAGCAGTGCCACTGGAGGCTGTCAGTAATGCGCATGGGAAACCGGGGAGGACCTGGCAGGCCCCAGGTCCCCCCGTATACATGTTCTCGCGTGTGCCTACGTGACTTAAGGTCGACCTTGGAAAGACGGCTCGGCTTCTCGGCAGCAGCACGACTCGACGGCATCTGGTGTGACACTAGTGTGACGAAATTAATAAACGAGGGAGCAGGTCCCATTTTGCGCACCGGAATCGATCCGCAGCTCTTGCAAGACCTCAATAAAATACAAAAAAAATGCGAATACATAGTCAAGGTGTGCGCACATCGATTTATGCAAAACCGCTCACGAAGAGGGGTTGTGGTAAGCTACAAGAAGCAGATTTGCTCAATTTTTATAAACCAGGGTGCCATCATAGTAGTACAGACGACGCGGGGAACAGTACAGTCCCTGATTCACAGCTGTCTCCCACTTTGATGATCACGAGCCCATCAGCAAGTCTTTGAACCCTCACGTAGTCCCCTAGACGGCGACCGAACACTGCCTCCGCAGCGATCAGGTATAAATCACAACGGGCTTGAGTGATGTTCGCCAACATATTGAACACCCTCTGCTACTACAACCGAACCAATCATGGCCAAGGACGAGCTCGATGCCGTGAATCTCGTGTTCGACCCACGCCTACACGTCGCGGGAGAGTTTGTTGAAGGTGCTGTAGACCTCTACTTCCCTAAGCTCGTAGAAGACGACATCGAAGAGGTCCATATCAAACTACAAGGTTCCATCGCGACGTGAGTTCACAATCACTTTTGTACTGACAGCACCTCTCACTTCTGCTTACAGGAAGATTACTCGTCAAATGCCAGGGCAGCCTCCTCGCCACGTCCACCATCGCCAGCATGTCGAGATATGCGGCGCGAATATCTCACTGTGGAAGAAGGGCTCGACCGTGTACCCTCAGCCAGGTACACATGTCCTTAGGCTGCCGTTCCGATTCGGTCTGCCCGTCAACCTTCCTCCCTCGTGCTCGTACTCGGGCGTCCATTGGTCGGGCACGGTCGGCTATTTCCTCGAGGCGGTAGGAGAGCGTCATGGCCTTCATTTTGATCGCAGGGTTCAACAGTCTTTCCCTGTCCTTCCTGTCGATGATCGCGGCGTGAGGCTGCGGTCGGCGTTGAGCGCAGGATGGAACGGTGGCTGGAAGACTTATGAGGTAAGGGATGAGATTCGCCGAGGAATCTGGGGTGACTACTCACAGGTCCACGCAACCGTGAGTTATTCGAAGATATATGGCAAACTTGTAAGCTAACCCGGATTGCCCACAGCTCGTCTTCCCGGACACGGACGTTCTCCCAATTCTGACGCCCATACCTGTCACCCTGAGCATCGTCACTGTGACGAAGACTATGAAGTTTGATGATCACAAAGAGGAAGATGAGATCTTCCCTGAGCCGCCGCAAGACCCGAAGAAGTACGAGCTCAAGATGGAATCCAGGGTTTTTGTCAAGGCGCAGGGCCACACGAACGGAGGCGGTGAACGCACAGTCGGTCTGCTCGGTGGGCTCGGGGAAAGCGACGACCCGCACTTCTACGACGGTCTCCAAGTGCAGGCTGCGCGAAAAGTCTGGATCCCTTCACCTGATTCTCATGACGAGAAAAAGCACAAAGGCCAGTGGAGGCAGGAGGTGACGTTTAGATCAGCGTTCGTCTTGAATTGTCCGCCGTCTTTCAGCACGGACACCCTGGGCGTAGAGGCGAGTCTGATTGATATAACACCTGAGATACAGATTACTGACGTACACTGTAGTATAGCGCACAGTTAAAGGTCGACTTCCCAGGCATAGGGAACGATACCAAACTGGAGTTCCCGATGCAAGTCATTTCTCCCATGCCTCCTCCTGGGCAGCCTTGGCAAGGACCACCTCCCCAGCTCGACCTTCCTCCGTGAGTCGGCTGAGTAGAGATATACATAAATCCCGCTAAGCACCGAATCCACAGGCAATACTACGATACTGATTCCTGGGCTAACGAAGACGAGAAGGCTTAGAGGTCCCTTGAGTGATATTACTACATGGTAGTCCGAAGTCCTGAATGAGACGACAAATATGCGAAAGGCAAAATAGAGACCAGGCTATACATACAGCTACAGCAGATTGTCCGTGGAAGATACAGCAGCATGCATTAAGCAGCACAACAAGAGTGGCGATGAAGTCATACATATAGACCTGTCCTACCACACTTTCAGACGTTTAACAGCATTGCGTAATTTGGATATCCGTGAAGACGGCGACTTCGGAATGAAGACGATCGAAGAAGGGCTTCTACGGTATCCATCCACGAGGGCGTCCTCGTCCTCTGGGTTGATGATCTCCTTCTGTTTCCAACAACCGTGCCCATCTCCAACTCTTTCGACCCAATCACTTCGAGCCTCCACATATCCGTAGCCGGCCACCTCCATTGGATCAGTGTGGCATCTTCTGACTGCTATCGGACGCCGGTCCATGTATGCAAACCGATCCTTATTGGCGACGACAGATATACGTTCCAGTATCCGCATGACATCAACGTCACCACGCAAATCCATGCAGCATGAGCAATAGAACGTTGAAGTCGGACTTGGCTGAATTGCAAAGAAGCGCAAACCGTCGGGAAGTAGGCGGTCCCAGGTGACAGGAAGCGCAATTGCGGTCGAAGGGCTGTCCCAGTCCGGAGGAGGTAAGTCGAACACTCTGGGGACGATACCCACCGCGGCGAGCTCGGCATGCACAACTTCGACTACTCGTCTACTCCCCCACTTGTCAAGCATCGTAAGGCGCAAATGTGAGATTGTCGGCGAGATCGAGTGCACGAGGTTGTGCGTCGCTTGCAGGTTGTCGCTCGACATACCGTGATAAGGCAGTGCGAGATGAAGTCGCTCGAGGCGTGGGGTATAAGATGGTAGTACATCTCCTGGGCGAGGGCTGGCAAGCTGACGAGGTGTGCAGCAGGCTCGGACGGTGAGCTCGCGCAAGTGGGGATACGGGAACGAGAGTAGGTGGCGCACTCCAATCGCGCCGTTGTAGAAGCAGGTATCGGAGAAAAAAACCAAGGTTTCAAGAGTTTGCGAGGCGTACTCGAGGATTGTGGACAGAGCGGGCAATAAATCGAGGTCGTATGCTGTCTGATCGTCTGGGTGCGGAAAACAATCTGGCGGAGGTGAATATCGATCGCAAAGGAACAGATGGTAAATGGGTCTTCTGCCCGACGCTCCTCGCATCTCCCTCGCTAGCTGTAGGACACGCTTGAAACCGGCGAGGCTAATGCATTGCCATTGGTACGGGTATGATACTTCGCGAATGTAACGAGATACGAGGGACAAGGCACAGCCCGTGGTGCCATCGTTCATGCAGGAGTATTGAAAGATCCGTGCATGGATCTCTGGAGGGCACCTCTCCATACTCAATGTAGTCGAGGTTAACAACAAAAACCTAGTTCTTGCTTAGTACTCAGTGGGAGCTGGATGAGAACCGTACGTGCCTAACCCAGTGTCCCTGCGATTAGACGGTCCCTATTTCGCAAGCTACCTCGTCGCAGCCTTGAGATTGCCCTCAGATGGTCCCAAAGTAGGATAGTGCAAGTATTTTTGAGTTCTAGGACATAGTGATAGCAAGGAAGAAGATGCGGATGAAGGCGCCTGCGAGATGGCCCCGCTTCTGGCGCTTCAGTTCCAGCAGCAACATTTCCCGCAGGCGCTGTAATTCTGGAATTAACAGCTGCGTGCACCTGTACCCTTACGACCACTTACTTGCCATGTCGCGAGACCGACCATTATTAGAATTCGACCTGGCGCCGTCTATTCCACCTCCCAGCTATGCTGCCGCGCACGATGAGGAGGAAGAGAAGGACGCACCGCCGCGGAGGTGGTACCATCTCCTGCCAACCTGTGGTATGCCTCAAACCTCACGCTGCGGAGTACATTTTGACATTACGCCCGCCTTCTACAGTGACAGTGTTATTTCTACTTGCACCACAGCCGTCATGGCTTATCGTGCTCACCCGATACCATCTGGGTGTACTGCACGACCGACGGGGATTCTTGCAACATCTTTGTATCACATACGCCCTTACACTCCTCGCATTCTCCTCTCTTATTACGATCATTACACGCGACCCCGGCCGACCATCAGCTCAGAAGACAAACAGCGAACCCGAAGAAATGAACTTGACGCAGGCTTTGCTTGCAAACGACCTGGACTACAATACCCCAGGCAAGTGGTGCCGTAAATGCTGGGCGCCTAAGCCTGAACGAACGCACCAGTGAGTCCACCATGATATCTATGTCAGAGCCACGGTTTACATAGTTCACAGCTGCTCGCATTGCGGTCGCTGTGTTCTAAAGATGGGTGCGCAAGATTTTTGTGCTCGCATCCAAAACTAAAACTAAATCTTACCTCAAATGTTAGATCATCATTGCATGTGGCTCGGTTACAAATGCCTCGTGAGTACACTCGCCCCGCGTGTAACTTCCTACACCTACTTTCATCTGCAGGGTCACCGAAACTATACCTCATTCCTTCATTTCATTACATGTATCACTCTCCTTTCCCTCTATTTTGCCTGTGTATCCGTGTCTGCCACATATTATGCCTTCACGAACCCTTTGACAATCGTAAGTCCCGCCATCTCATGTTCTAGATGAAATCTCGTGACTGTTTGCAGGACGAAATTACCCCTCTACACGAGATGTCTCTTGGTTTGGCTGGGATTGTCTTCACCATGGTTCTTGGCCCATTTGTCATCTACCACATCTTCCTCGTCTCGTAAGCGGGTTTCTCTTACGGTACGCAGCCCTCCTGACATTTCTATAGCACGAATCAAACCACTATTGAGCACCTCTCGCCTTTCTTCCTTCTACGCCAACTTCCCCCGTTATCGCCACAACATGCCGCCGATCATCCTCACCTCTCCGACCCGCCTCTTGAACATGAGCTGTCGTACAGCCAGCGTCGACTCGTTCGCGACGCACATGGCTACATCAAGATATATAATCTTGGCTGGAGGAAGAACTGGGCACAAGTCCTAGGCTGTGACAAGCCGTATGGTTGGATTAACCGTATTCTCTTCGGTGGAGGGGGGTGAGCATCCCGCAGATGATGAATAACTTGTTGAAGTCCTGATTTTCTGCTTGACAGTGCTGGCGATGGAGTGAATTTCCCTCGCAATCCCCAAGCCGACGAGCTGCTCGTACGCTTGGCGACTGAACTCGTCGACGCCGACAAAGTTTCATAGCAGCCTGATACCCACTTGATACCCCGCATTATACCCCAGATGTACCCAGCTTTTGTTGTATCCACTTCTCACGAACTTTTCTTATAAGTCCATATGCATGTCCCGCAAGTCCACATGCGTACTCAGGCTTTCCTGTCATCGGACTAGTAGCTAAGACCTCACCTAGTATCCTTACATCTCACAAGAGTTCTTATCCAGGTCTTCCACCCGTAATCACTCCCTGGACATTGCCATGATCGTTCTCCTCTTGATCGACTAGCTTCTTCCATGTGAGTTGTTCTCCTATTCAGATGCACTTAGCTAAGTGATTGTGCAGTTTATGGCGGTACAGATACTGCCTGGTTTTTGCAGTTACCCAGCGCAGTGGGAGAGAACGGGGCAGTATCCCGTCCATATCTCGACATCGCAGTCGTTCTCGCGCATTTCATTCTTTTCTCCCACTGCCGTATCCAATCTCCACGACGAAGGCTCGAAGCCCAGATACCCGACGTATCATCATGCACTGTTGCATTCTTGACAGCTAGACTGATGCAGTGTGCGACCGTGGGGAATTTCCCTTTCATTGGTTATTGCAGGCTTCGAGACTCTCACCATCTGGTCACAAGGGGGAGATTATAGAATCGATGAGATGCCAGACTCAAGCTCCGTCTACGGCACGGCTTGCTTATAAGCCAGCTGAGTTGTAGTTACCGCTAGGTCAGTGCACTTGTACTAGCTATCATGGCAACGGTCGGGCTGATTTAATTATCATCTTCACACAGCTGCTAAGTTTCGTGGTCTACAGGGCACTGCGTGCTACAAATCTCCTGCGTTAGACGTTGAAAAATCTTCGATCACGCAGAGATCGGTCGAGGATGCGACAACTTACAGCATCGACACAATGGCTGAGTCGAGGTATGATGCGTACGTGATCCTACCGAATTACTGTACTAAGTCCGTTCCTCAGAGTTGTGTGGCGCATCGACACACGGCTTTTGCCATCGTCGATGTTCATCTTCCTGCTCTGCTTCTTGGACCGCTCAAATATCGTGAGTGAAGCGCAGTTCGTTGCAGCAATCTGAGCTTAGCTTTGCAGGGAAACGCAAGAGTCCTCAACAGTGACATAGATGACTCCCTGGCACAAACAACTCGGATCTCAAACCAGCAATATTTAGTCGTCTTTCTGATCTTCATCGTTTCCAGCACGCTATTTGATGTCCCTTCAAACTATATGCTGCACAAATTTCGCCCAAGTCGCTGGTATGCCCTTCAATTTGCGGTGGAAATGTTGACTAAGTGCTGGCAGGATCGCATGCTTGATGCTAGGATGGGGATTGATGACGATGGTCCTGGGAGCCGCGAAGAACTTTGTCGCGCTCGTCTGTATCCGCTTCCTTCTCGGAGCCTTCGAAGCGGGCCTGTTTCCTGGTATCGTATACTGCTTGACGTTTTGGTACAAGCAAGACGAGCGAGCTCTCAGAGTGGCGTTCATTGTAGGCTGCGCGACGCTAGGTAAAGCTCTTGGCTGAATTCGAAGCATGCCATCTGATATAACGAATCTCAGCGGGTGCGTTTGGTGGGGCCATTGCTTTTGGCATCGGGCATATGGACGGCGTACAGGGTCTGCAAGGATGACGCTGGCTTTTCATCCTCGAGGGCGCCCCTTCTTGCTTGTGCGCAATTCTGGTCTATTTCTTCTATCCCAACTTCCCCGAAGCCAGCAGCTGGCTATCAGCTGAGGAACGCGCTGTCGTTGCAAAGCGAATCAAGGGCGTCGCGTCGCTGGGCTATGAGAAATTGACATGGGCCTGGGGCGAAGGCGACCCTCATGGATTGGCGGCTTTATCTGCACCACGCGTTGAGCATCTCGTACTCAGTGGCATTCTCGAGCATCTCGCTCTTCACTCCCACCATCGTGTCAGGCCTTGGATTCGAGGGTCTAGTGGCGCAGCTCTTCACCGTTCCACCGTACGCCATTGCGTTTGTCGTCACTCTTTTCATCGCGTGGCAGGCAGACAAGCGAGGTATGCGTTGTTGGGCAGCCTTCGCATGTCTGGCCATCTCAGGTATATGCTTCCTAGTCCAAGGTGAGCTCGGGAGGCCTTTTATGAGCCTGGTCATGGACTTACTGTGTGCGTAGGTGTACTCCCTTCACATGCATTCAAGGCCCGGTATGGACTGCTCTGTGTCGCCGTCCCCTTCACGTTTGCCATCCAGCCTCTCCTTCTCAGCTGGCTCACTGCGAACCTCCGAAGCACCGACGCCACCATGCTTGCTTTGCCACTGAATATCTCTATTGGTCAAGCAGGCCAGATTGTCGGTACGTCAGAGTCAGAGTCAGGGTTTTGCTGTTAGAAGATTGACTGGGGCTTAGGTATCTACATCTACAAGAGCTCTGAGGCCCCAGGCTATCCAACGGGACATTTCACGAACGCTGCCTTCCTCCTTGCTGGAGCTGTCATTGTCCTCCTGCTACGCGCCATATACACCCGACGCAATCGATCTCTGTCTGTAGCCGATCGTAAATGGCAGCTCTGAGGTTCCAAACACTGCCCACTCGCACTATGTACATCACTGAGCTCACTGCTCTTCCAACCCGTCCTTCGACTCCGAATAGCGCGCATAGACGGAGCAGATTTATCGTTTGTCAGTTTGACATCACATTCTTCTGAGTCTGCGCGCCTGTGGTGGAACGGTCTCCAGTGCGAAATTTCGTCCCTTCTGGTTAGTTTGTCAATACCAACTTCAGCGATCCGACTCATGCTTCTCAAGTGGTCTTACGCTTCGGAGCTTCCAAAATCAACCATTTGC